AGAAGGATGGTGGTGGGGGAGATAAATGAGATGTACCAAAGAACTTATATGCGTGTATGCATAACCAGTGGATATAGACAATAATGCTGGGGGGTTGAATGGGATGGGGAGCAGGGTGTCTAGGGTAGGAAAAAGAGAACCATCTGTAACAGAAATAAATTAATAAGAATTGGGGGAAGAAAAATGTAACCTGAAATAAGGAGCAGAGATTCCATAGAAGAAATAATACCCTCTTAAAAAGGAAGCTTTAAAGGAAATTCAAGCAGTATTACAGAAATTCTTAAAATCATGTGCTTCAGAAATCTCCCAGAAAACAGGACAGGCATTACAGATTCATTAGAAACTACATATATCTTGGAAACCCAAATCTATGAGGAAGACTGAGAAAATAAACTACACAATAAGGAAGACTCTTGCAACAGTATGTCATGAAACACATATGAAATGGGATCTATTGCCTTGCTCTGGATTCAGGTAACACCCTGAAGCTGACTTCCAGTAAGCCCTTTGGAAATAGTTTATGGGAGACTTTTCCAAGTTTCTGTTTTAGGAACACCCCTTTAGATTTAGAACATGAATCAAAAGTCAAACAATACGTATATCATTTAGAGCGAACACTAACAATTTTGCACAAGTTCTCAGTGCAGGTCTATCTACCCATCTGAAGAGCCCTTACATCCATTCCAGCCTAGAGACTGAATCTTACTAAAGGCCTGGAAGACTCAAGGTCCTGAACAGCAGTTAGCTGAGCAATGGACCAGTTCCTGTGATGTCCTGCTGACAATACACTCTTCCCTAAAGCTCACAGAAATCAAGCCTTGGATCCGTCACATGTGAATAAAGAGGGCACTGCCTGAGGAGGACTCAGGCCTTGTTGCTCTTGATACTGTAAGGGAAAGCTAGACCTGCACTTCTAAAAGAAATTTAAAATTTATTTTTTGTAAAGGAACAGCACCCCTCAAAGCTAAGTGACATGTTACTTTTTATTTTATTATTACTTTTTGACAATTGTTATACTTTATGCCCATGCTTTGACTGATAATACCTTTCTCTGCATTTCCCAGACAGTGGCTTCTGCTGCAAACTTATCCCACTGTTGGGTGTGCCACCCCAAGCTCTGCTCAAGATAAGATCATAAGGATCCTTTTGTCTCTCTAGTTTCTAATTTCATTACAAGGCATACTCCTTACATCACTAGGCATACTCCTCACTAAATATTTGATTGCTTGTGCACACAGTAGGCCTCACTTTGGAAGCACATCTGCAACACCACCTCTTGAAATCAGCAGTGCCATCATCTAGACACTGCGTATGCCACCTTCCAAAGACAGCAATCCTTGACCCACTTCTTTTAGTAATTGGCAGGAATCTCTGGACCCAGGAATAGGTGAGACTATGCCCCTTGAGAGCAGGAAAAAACTACAGAAGATGAAACCTCCATCCATTTACCCTCATAAGATTACAAGGGTCCAGAGTTTTGAAGGGGAAAATTATTACCAGTAGACAGTCAGAGTACCAAGGAGTCTCCCCATTGACCAAGATGGCACTGAGGGAGGTTTGTGTACTGAGTGTGCCAAAAGCTAAAAAGATGAATAAGGCCTGAGCTTGTCAAAAGCTAGAAAGATGAATGGACTGTTTCTGAACTTAAGAATATAGTCCACAGGGGAAAGATATTTGTTGACTGGTTGAGCTTGAACTGTTTGGGTCATGGAAATGGAATTGGATGTTTGGGGCTTTAAGAGAGAAAGAGAGTGAGAACCAGAGTGAGAACAGGGCTAGAAATACTGAGGATGCCTCAATTAGAACAAGGTTGGTGACTTAAGAAAGGGGACAGAATGGAATCACTGAAAGAGTATGCAAAGAGAGTGGAGAGCTAAGTCTAGTACCTTTGTGAATAAAATTATTTAGCGAAGGAGAAAGGAGGACCAAAAGGGAGCTTTGAGAAGGAATAGCTCGAGAAGCCACAGGACAGTCAAGAGTGCTGGGTTAGGGAAGCCAGAGTGGAGCTTGTTTATGCCCTGGAGCCACTAAGATAAGGAATGAAGACAGCCTTCTTCATTGGCAACTGGGAGATCAATGAGATCACTGGCAAGAGTAGTTTTATTATAATGTGTGAGGGTGAAGGAGAAAGTCAGTACACCAAGTATAGACATGGGGGTAGGATGATGCAGGCCTAGGTCTTGGCTCAGTAGCCTGACAGCTGGCTAGCTATTGTAAATGCAAGTTCTGGGGTCAGATCTTGACACCTGGGAGCTGTATGAATATTATTTAACCTCTTAAGCTTTATTGCCTACTCTGTAAAATGATGATGGTTCTGGGACTGTTCTGAGAATTAAAATGAAGTTATGCATAGAAAGAACCTAGTACAAAATTAATAACCTGTGGTTGCTCAGGCCAAAACCTTGGAGTCATCCTTGACTTCTCTCTCTCACACAACCCACTTCTAAGCTAGAGGCACATCATTTCTGCTGGAACACTCCAAACACCACATATCCTGAATCTGACCACTTTTTACCACTTCCACCTTGGTCCAAGTCACCCTTGTCTCAGCCTAATTATTGCCATCACTTCTTTTTTTATTTAAACAAATTAATTTATTTAATTGAGGTAACATTGGTTAATAACATTACATACATTTCATGTGCATGTTATAATTTGATCTTTGTATGCGTTATTGTATGCTCACCACCAAAAGTCTCATTTCCACCTGTTTGACTTCCTTTACCCATTTCACATGTGTCCTGCCATCCCCTTCCCCTCTGGTAACCACCATACTGTTATCTATATCTATGAGGTTTTTAAAATTTGTTTTCTTAGTTTATTTGTTACTTTTGTTTTTTTCCGCACGAGTGAAATCATATGGTTTTTGTCCTTTTCTGACTTATTTTATTTAGCAAAATACCCTCAATATTCATCCATGTTGTCACAAATAGCAATATTGCATCTTTTTATAGCTAAGTAATATTCCATTGTATATATGTACCACATCATCTTTATTCATTTATACATCAGTGAATACTTAGGTTGTTTTTATATCATGGCTATTATAAATAATGCAGCAATGAACATAGGGAAACACATATCTTTTCAAATTAGTTGTTTTTGTGTACTTTAAATAAATACCCAGAAAAAAAATTGCTGGATCATATGTAGTCCTATTCTTAATTTTTAAAGAAAACTCCATAGTGTTTTCCATAGTAGCTGCACCAGTTTACATTCCCACAAGCAGTGTATGGAGGTCTCCCTTTCTCCATATTCTCACTTATTATTTCTTGTCTTTTTGATAATGACCAATCTAACAGGTGTGAGGTAATATATCATTGTGCTTTTGATTTGCATTTCTCTGGACCGCAGGACAATGCTCTAACCGCTGAGCCAAACCGGCCAGGACCCAACACCATTTATGGAGAGACTTTTCTTTCTGCATTGTGTGTTCTTGGATCCTTTGTCATAAATGAGTTTCCCATATGTCTGTCAGTTTAGTTCTGGGTTCTCAATTCTGTTCCATTGGTCTGTGTGTCTGTTTCTCTGCCAATACCATACTGTTTTGATTACTTTGGAGTATAGTTTGAATTGAGGAGTGTATTACCTCTGGCTTTTTTATTTTTTTTATTTTGTCTCAGAATTTCTTTGGCTATTTGGGGTCCTTTGTGGTTCCTTACAAATTTTAGAAATTTTTGTTCTGTTTCTGTGAAAAATGTCATTGTCCTTTAGGCATGCCATTACTTTTTAATGGTCTCCTTACTTCTGCCTCTGCCTTTTTTCTTCTTACTGTCAACAGACAGTTGTTGGTGTGAACTCAACGCTGATAGGAACCTCCAATTTGGAGTGGTAAAGAAGGAAATTATTTTCAGTGCAAACAGCTCGATTGTGATACAGCACAGCTATGGAACAGCTCAATAGTGTTACAGCTCAATTATAAAGCAGCATGGCTATAGAACAGCACTGTTGTGCCACAACCCTGGGGCAAGGTTGCCCTGGGACAAGCCCCCCCAGTCCCCCTTTGGCTGGACAGCTTAGACTGCTTTTAAATTTGAGCCAAGTTGGCCACCAGGGGTCCTTATTAGTAGATACCTTCTTTCTCTGGCTAGACAATACTCATACCCACACAGGTGCCTGAGTGATTTTTGTTACATCAGACCACAAGTTCCCTTTGCTAAACACTCAGAGTAGAAACCATGCCTTTACAAAAGGCAGCAAGGCCCTACATTCCTTTCAGTCTATCTGGTACTTCTCTCTGACCTCACATACCATACTCCCCCAGGCTCACTCTTCCCATCACATTGAAACTTACTGGGCATCCTTTAGCCTCAGGGCCTCAGCAAGCTGCTCCCACAGATGTCTGCCTGTCTCCTTCCCTCACTTCCTTTTGGCTTTCACTTAAAATGTCACTTTCCCACTGACCTTGCCTGGCCAAGCTCCTGTACTCTTTATCTCCTTCTCTTAAGTTGCTCCACCTTAGCATTTATAACGGTTGAACATTTTTGTACATTTTATTTAAATTTTTAATTGTTTTCCAGCTGTATATTCCAAAGAGGCAGAGATATTTTTGCCCCCACCCCCCCACCCCAGTCGTGACTGCTGTATTCTCAGCCTCTAGGACAATTCCTGGCATGAGTGGATACTTAATAAATATTTATTGATTGCATGAATGATGGGAAGATAGTAACCAGAAGTTTTATGTTTCCTGGTTTCCTTACCTACGAATTCAGGGTATTACCTTTGCTTAGTCAGCCTCCTTCAGGTGTTTCCAGAAGAGGATGCTAGACCGAGAACCAAATCTCACACAGAACACATGGCTTACAGGGATCAGACAGGTCCTTAGGGGCTCACGCCCCGAGCTTACACTTCCAGAAAAACCCCAGAGCCTGTGGAGGAGCCTTAGTCCACAAGGGCAGCGCCACACACCTCAGCGCGCTCCATACCAGGCCTCCAGTGGCTAACAACCTTCGCCCCGCCCCGCGCACTTCCGGTCCCGCCCCACGCCTGACCCACTTCCGGTCCTCCCCTTGGTGTTTAGCCTACAGTCCCCAGCGCCCAGAGGCCGAGGGGACGGTGCCTGGTGGCCCAGGGGAGTGCAGCATCTGGACCTTCAGACACAAAGAGCAGCTGGTGGACGCGGGGTGGGGGCCGCGCGGTTGGAGACTGTAGATCCCCCACTGCCCAGGTGAGCAAGTTCGCGGCGGGTCTGCGGAGGTGCATATGCGGTAGGGGCTTGGCAGCTGCGCACTCCTCTGGTGGGGCTGCGGAGCCAGGAAGTCAGCAGGTAGGACGAAAATGTCGGTGCTCACTACTCTGGGCGGCATGGAGACCAGGGTAAAAACCTGCGGTCCCTCACCTCAGAGTTCCGGCGCTGGCCGCTGCGTGGGGTCCGCGTCTTCCTCTCGCCTCTGGGTATATATAGGGGTACATGTTCAGTAAGTGTGATGTGGTGTCCCGCTTTTCTCCTCACCCTAGAGGGCTAAGGGTAGGGTCAATTTAAGATAACGTATCCTATGGCTGTCCGGCTGCTTAAACAAGCCTTTAAAAAACCAAGTCTACAATACAGCCGTGTCGGTGCCCCTTTGAGCAGTTTTCAGTGTTCCGGCTCCTTCGCTAAAGTGGACATTCAACTCCTGGTTTGCAATCCGGAATGGGGCGAAACCATTGCTTTCATCGGGAACGTGGAGGTTAGACGGTTGTGGACAGCTGTGGCGTAGGTGGGTCACTGCAGCCTCTGCGTCGCCGCCGGTGACCAGGTGCCTTCTTTCCCGACCATACCTCTTTAGGCTTCCCCTGTCACCTGCAAAATGCCTGGGTCCCATTCCAAAGACAAATCGATTTATTCCACGGGATCATCTCCTTTAAATAAGATTTCATCCTACTATAGAACGATTTTTTAGGATGTGTCTGTTTCCTTTTGAGTTTGCACTTGAAAAACTATTTGAAATAAGACGCCACCCTGTGGGGCTGAAAAGTCTGTTGTTTTATCTATTGTACTAGTTGTTTGGCAGAATCGCCCCTTTCCTCACCACAAATTCCATGTAGGAGTCTTTTTTAATTTCTTTGGATGTTTTAGTATCATAAATCGTGCTCTGTTGCGTTGTTAGGAGCTCCCTGTAAGTCTGTGTTTACACAGGATGAAAGTGAAGAAGAGTCACTTGGTTCCTACCTGCTCTAGAAGGCTTAGGCCAAGCTATAGAACAGGGAGGGGTGTGTGTGTGTGTGTGTGTGTGTGTGTGTGTAGGGGGAGGTTAATGGTGGCGGCGGCAGCGTAGTATGAAGCTGTATGGCTGGAGAGGTCAAGTGAGAATCAAGGTCCCACCAGCAACACTGTTAATAGGAGGGAGGGATTATGAGTAATGGTGATTTTCTTCTTAGAGGCCTTTGCTGTTTTCACATTGGATTTTGAATAGACGAAGGTTAAAAAAAGTTAATGACAGTTAAATCTGGTCTATTAAACAGAACACTATCAGCATCTGACCCGTCCCGCAACGAGGACTCTAGAGGGGGAGTGAGGATGAGAAGGGACAAGAGACACGAGAAATGGAGACAAGACAGGAGTCTGATCAAGTCTCAACTTTATTGCAGATAGGTAACAGATTATATACTTGTGGGAAAAGTCAGGCAGGAAGGGAGGAAAAGGGTGCATAAGCAGAGAAAACAATTCTCAATTATCAAAGGCTTTTACTGTTTTAACACTAACCAGGGGCCTTATCTCAGGAATGCTCCTCAAGGCGATACTTCAAGGACCTTCAGGCAATAAACTGCAAGCAGGCAAAGAAGTTCTGCACGTACAGCCAACTTATTCTTAAAGGTCCCTCGCTTGACCCCAACAAGCATCCTCACAATTTTAATAGCTTTGTGCAAAAGTATAAGAGAAATGCTAAGGCAGTTAGAGAAACAGGCTACCACCCTGATGCCCCTGTTGTTTGAAATCATCTGGCTGTTTAAAATATTACAAATTTAACTGGTCTATATTGGCAATTCAAAGTTGGATGTATGTATTATTTTAAAAATATTTTTCTTTATTGATTTTAGAGAGAGAGTAAGGGAAAGATAGAAACATCAGTGAGAGACAAATTGTCCGCCTCCTGTATGCCCCCCAACTGGGGATCAGGCCCACAACCTGGGCATGTGCCCTGACCAGGAATTGAACTGGTGACCTCTTGGTGCATGGGTCGACACTCGGCTACTGAGCCACACCGGCTGAGCTGTATGTATGTGTTTAATTATAGTTCAGATTCAGTGAAATTTAGAGGATAATCATTTATTAACCTCTTCCAAAGACCTCAAACTTCAGATAACATTTAATACCATCAAATCAGAAAGAGAACACTTTATAGAGGAAAAATTAGGGCTTAAAATTTTTTTAATTGAGAATTCATATAAACTTTGATGGAAAACTGTTTTCCCTAAATCATATCCCTCAGATGTGGTGAACTGACACAGTCATTTGCTAACAGCATTTGTAAATCCTTAGTGTTTAGTGCATCCTTTGTTCTGAGTCCTTAAGAATGCTTGGTGGTGGACAATAGAGTAACAAAAGAGTTGCAAAGTATACTAATCCTAAGTATTAAAGATATTCAGATCCTGCCCTTTTGTGGTGATTGACTTTAGATGCTAGTTGGTGGATGGTTCTTTTTTATTTTTTCTTTGAAGATGAAACGTGACCTTTGAGATTTGGGGCATATGAGAGGTCCCTCTGATCACATTCTTTTCTACTTTGAACACTTAAGTTTGGGTTTTGGCATAAACAGATGGCTGCTAGACTCTGTTTCCTCCCCTGGCTCAAGAAAGGTCTAGAAAAATGAGCCAAAACAGTGTCCTGGCCTCACTTCTGACTAGAAGGAATGGCACTCTCCCCTCCAGCCTAGAAAGGCATTTTCTTTATTATTTTGTGATGAGTCTGATAAAGGTTTAATTTTATCTTTTCAAAAAACCACTCTTGGTTTCATTTAATCTTTCCGTTGTTCTTTTTTTTTTTTTTTTTTTTTTTAGATGATTACTTCTTTAATCTTTATTATTCTTTTACTCACTTTGGGCTTTGCTCTTCTAGTTCCTAATAGGTATAAGATTAGATTGTTTATTTGAGATTTTTCTTCTTTCTTGAGGTAAACCTGCACTGGTATGAATTTCCCTCTATAACTGCTTTTGCTGTGTCCCATGGACTTGAGGTTATTGCGTTTTCATTTTCATTTGTCTCAGGTATATTGATTTCTTTCTTTTTTTCTTTAAAATATTTTTATTAATTTGTTTTTGTTACAGATGTTTCTCATTTTCCCCTCATTAACACCCTTCTCCCCATCACCCCCACGCATTGTTGTTTATGTCCATTGGTTATGCATATATGCATATAAGTTCTGTGGTTTATCTCTTCCCCCCCAATACCCCTTTTCTGGGGTTTGTCAGTCTGTACCCTACCTCTGTGTCTCAGAGTCAATTTTGTTCATTAGTTTGTTTAGTTCATTATATTCCACAAATAAGTGAGATCATGTGTTATTTGTCTTTCTCTGCTTGGCTTGTTTCACTTAGCATAATATTCTCCAGGTCCCTCCATGTCATCTCCAATAATAAGAGATCTTTCTTTCCTACAGCTGCATAGTATTCCATTGTGTACATGTACCACAGCCTTTTTATCCAATCACCTACTGATGGATACTTGGGTTGTTTCCAGATCTTAGTTATTGTAAATAGTGCTGCTATGAACATAGGGGTGCATATATTCTTTCTGATTGGTGTTTCAGTTTTCTTAGGGTATATTCCTAGAAGTGGGATGAATGGGTCAAATGGCAGTTCAATTTTTAACGTTTTGAGGTAACACCGTAGTGTCTTCCATAGTAGCTGCACCAGTCTGCATTCCCACCACCAGTGTACTAAAGTCCCTTTTCTCCACAACCTCGCCAACATCTGTTGTTTGATGAGTTGTTTATGGCAGCCATTCTGACAGGTGTGAGGTGATAACTTATTGTTGTTTTAATTTGCATCTCTCTGGTGATTAGTGATGTTGAGCATTTTTTCATATGTCTCTTGGCCATTAGTATGTCCTGTTTGGACAGGTGTCTCTTTAGTTCCTCTGCCCATTTTTTAATTGGGTTCTTTGCTGTCCTTTTGGTGAGCTGTATGAGTACTCTATATATTTTGGAAATTAACCACTTATCTGATGCATCATTGGCAATTATGGTCTCCCATATGGTGGGTTCCCTTTCCATTTTGATGACTATATCTTTTGCTGTGCAGAAGCTTTTGAGTTTGATGTAGTCCCATGTGTTCATATTCTCCTTTGTTTCTGTATCCTTAGGTGATGTATCAGTGAAAATTCTGTTGTGTGATGTCTGAAATTTTGTTGCCTATATTTTCTTCTAGAATATTTACGGATTCATGAGTTACATTTAAGTCTTTTATTCATTCTGAGTTTACTCTTGTGTATGGTGTAAGGTGGTGGCCTGGCTTCATTTTTTTGCAAGTAGCTGTTCAATTTTTTTAACACCATTTATTGAAGAGACTGTCTTTATTCCAGTGTATGCTCTTGCCACCTTTGTCAAATATTAATTGAACATATTGCCTTGGGTCTATTTCTGGGTTCTCTGTTCTGTTCTATTGATCTATCTGCCTGTTCTTGTGCCAGTACCAGGTTGTTTTGATTACAGTAGCTTTGTAGTATAACCCGATTATCTAGTAATGTGATCCCTCTTACTTTCTTCTTTTTCAAGATTACTGTGGCTATACGGGATCTTCTTTGATTCCATATAAACTTTTGTGTTCTAGTTCTGTGACATATGTCATTGGTATTTTGATAGGGGATTGCATTGAATCTATAGATTGTTTTGGGTAGTATGGACATTTTAATGATGTTAATTTGTCTAATCCATGAACAAAGTATGTACTTCCACTTATTTATGTCTTCCTCTATTTTTTTTTTTTTTTTTCAATGACCTATAGTTTTCTGTGAAGAGGTTCTTTACTTCTTTGGTTAAGCTTATTCTTAGGTATCTTAATTTTTTTTGCTGCAATGGTAAATGGGATTGTTTTCTTAGATTCTCTGTTAGTTCATCATTGGTGTAAAATAATGCAGTCAAGAGCAGACATCCAGCCCCAGGCAACAGAAGCACAAACCAGCAGCTGAGACCTATTCCCAAAATCTACATCAAAAGCTGAGCAGGAGTTGAGCCCCACAGGGCATCAGCA